GATGAGTGTGGTGCCGGAGGCCTAATTTTACTCTCTTTCCCTTTCCACCCACTTCTTAAGAAGAAAGGATGGGAGGGGAAAAATGGATTTGACGATAGAGGAGAGGCATAGAAAAGAGAAATGTCCTCCTTAAGTGCGTCTCCTCCTCCATCAATTAAGGGTAGGCATTGCACATGCAATTGCGGATGTTTATGGGCAGCGGTCGCTTTCCATTTCGGTGGATTCAGGGGGCCGCTTGCGAGTTTGCCACCACGTATTATAAAAAAAAAGTTTCTTTAATTGCAGTGCCAATGAAAACCTTGAGGGCCCTCTAAGGTACCAGATTAAGTTTACCACAATCTCAAAATGCATCAAAGGGTTGGCTGTAAAGGTATATCCTTTTTCTTCTAAGCGACTAGAACAATCTGAAAGATAGGATGCACCAAGTTGTGAGTTTTTGTAAACTTATTTAAAAGGTTCAAAGTGTATAACCTCATTTAGCCAATGCCGTATTTTTTATTTCGATGTGTCGAAAGCAACGTTGGCTCAGAAGTTAAGCTTTGAACAGGTAATCAAAAGGTCCGGGTTCGATCCCCGGCAATGTACAAAAGAGCGGTTTTTTAATTTTCTAATTTTCCTTTTACGTTTTATGACGTTCTTACGATGAAGGAAAACATCGTGATGCAACCGTGGTTAACTACGACATCAATCACCCTTAACTTGGGTAGGTCCCGAGCCCCTCGGTGGGGACATTTGTGAGCTGATGAGGAACGAATGTGTATTATGACGAAAACATTGACGCCTATTACCGTTTTTAATTTCGGTACTTCATCAAAATATGTCCGACCTTTGAATCATAATCGAATGATGAAGATTCATTAATTTGAACAAGGCTAAAGTTCACAGCATAAAGGACACACCAACTGCACTTGCGCGTACTGTATTGATTTTCTCTGTGCACACCTACAAATGCAACTTGCAAAAAGACGTAATATAGTTCCAGCATATCCAACAGTGCAACTGCACATGTGTGTGTGTGTGAGTGCTAAGAACACAGGCATTCACACAGACGCATACAGCACACTAGCGCAACGTGAGCTTTCTGGTACCTATCCATACAATGCAACTGCATAAGTGTGCATTGAGAACTGCACGCATACAACTGTGCTGTCACACACACACATACATAAATGGAACTGCGAAGTTTCTGGAAATGTAATTTTAGATTTTTTATTCGGTCCCTGGAACGAGGGATTTTTCCATCCTAACTTTTAGAAAAGTATTAATTCCAACAGCACTGGCAAAAGTTTTAATTATATAAAAACTCAGATTCGCGAAATAGTATAGAAGCGCGGAAAATTACTTCACGAAAATTAAAATGGCGGAAAAGTCCATTGTAGTCCTCTGATTGTTTTTAAACTACGACAAGAATGGCAAAACGTTTATGCACAGAGGTATATAAGAAATGAGAATTTATGTAAAATAATTCAAGGGTGGTCCCGGCGCGACGCTTTGCGTTCAAGGTCCCGGGACCCTCGCAGTCGCACTTGAGAATGGGCAATGATTTCCTTTCCGATATCAAAATAAGCATGAAGCAGCGTAAACTCCGCCCCTTTTTCAGTTTTTCACTTTTCTCTGCTTCACTTCTTATTGCTACGGATGTTGATGTAAATTCGGTATTAAATATGTCAGTATAAGCCTCTTGCTCATTTTTTTATGATTTTCGAATTAGCGCTAGACCACGATCCTACCTGAATTATGTGGTCATTTAGACATTAAAAAGCTTTGAATATACAGATTTATTACAAGCAGCCCAACTGCCACACTCAGAGACTGCAAGTAGCCCTGAATGTATGCTTAGTATCATAAATATACACTAAGATAGACACCACCAAAAACATCTGTTGCACGAGTTGGCCGGCTCGCCCCCCGCCGTGCCACGACCATACTAAAGATAGGTGTGAAGTGGAAGTAATTCGGCGTAAACTCTAATAAGTGTGTGTCCCGGAGACCTAATTTTAATCCCCTATTCCTTCCTACCTTTTTTTTATAAAGAACGGATGGGAAGGGATAGTGGATTTGACAGAGGAGGGGACGGTTAGAATGTTGAAAAATCCTCTTTCTATGCATCCCTTCCTCCGGCGATTAAAAGTAGTCCTGCCTTTGGGAATGTCTATGGTCAAATATCGCTTCGCTATTTCGGCGAATTCAGGTGGCCGCTTGCCACTTCATGATATTTAAGAAAGTAATGTGTATTTGATTTAAAAAGGTCAACCTCACATATTGCTTTTTGCGTCATAAATTTAAAATATTCTGTGCGTCATACGCTACGTTACTGTTAAATTATCAACTCCGGGCATTATAAGATCTGTCGGGAGAATGTAAAAACTTGAATTCTCTATAGCTTTTTTTAATAACCCTTAAAGAAAAAAAGTTTCATTGCTTAGTAATTATTTGTACCAAATAATTTAATTCAAAGTAATTATTTACGCTTTTATAAAGCCAAGGAGTGACAATTTTAATTCAATTCATTGATATTAAAAACGTTAAAATAGTGATATTTAGCTCATTTTAAAAAAGTTTTCCTTTTTATAATGTTGCTACAACCCACCGGTGATCTTTTCTACACCATTTTTTTTTATAACATAAGGTGGCAAACGAGCAAGCGGCCACCTGAATCCGCTGTTGGCGGAAATCCGATAATGGCGAAGAGACCGCTGCCCGCAATTGCAGATGCGTTGCCTACCCATATCCAACGGAGGAGGAGATGCACTTAAAGGAGATATTTCCCCACCCTATGCATCTCCTCCACTATCAAATCCACTTCCCCTTCCCATCGTCTCCTTATGAGAAAAGGGTGATAAGGAGTAAGGGACTTAAATTAGGCCTCCGGCACCACACTCATCAGACTGTACACGGAATTGCTTCCATTTCTGTGTGGTCGTGGTATTACACCGGGCGTGCCGGCCGGGTATAAATTTTCTTGTCTATGACCATGGGGTGTCTGTGAGTTCTTTTCATTGAAGATTCCGCCAAAGGTGCGAAATACTCGAAATAAACTACTTGAACTTTTACCGTAATCAGTCGGGAAATCTAAAGTTTCACCGATGAATTTTAGTACGTACCGGAGTTCGTGTTTTACAGTAACATGTTTACTGATTTGCAATTTCTAATAACATTATAAATGCAGTCATTGTGGATTAAGATGTCAAGAATGCACCAAGGCGTTAAGAAAATGTACTTCATCAGCAATTAATATTTATAAGAGCCGTCGCTGCCAATTTATATAAAATTATCCTATTGAATAAGTTCATAAACAACAAGGCGCCAAATTAAATTACCATATTCAGGCAGCTACTTGAAATACGATACAAGATTCTATAAAATTGCAGGAGCTAGTTTTTTGAGAAACAGAAAGCTCTTCTCCAAAATTGAAGCCGAGCGAAACCTCAATAACTGTACTGTTTATCACTCTCTGGCAATGGTGACCATAGTGAAATTTGATTTAAGGACAGTAATTATGAAAAAAATCTTGTTTTTTATAGTCTGACGTCAGCAGATTACTGAATAGGTGGATATTAATGTATTATTGTTATCATAATCTATAATAAAATTGAAACAAAGTTAATTTAATAGAGAAAGGAATAAATAAACGCATATGTATTTAAGTTATTTGTTCTTAAACTAGGATTGGATAGTCACGCATGGTCACCGTAATTCTTCACTAACAAATTATGTTTAAAACTTTTATCTGTGAAATTAATAATACACAATAAGCATAATACTCGCTTCCGCAATCTATGACGCAAATTCTTCCCGTTTTAACTTAAAAACTCTTTAAAAATGTTACGAAATAAAAAAACTCCGCCACTAAATCGGGTCGGGTGGTCACCCCACCAACGCGGTGAAGCCAAGAGGAACCATGGCCGGCTTAGCGGGGCATGGTAGAGGTGAGGCCGCGGGGGCTGCGGGATGGATATGGTTCGCCCTGTCCTCTCGCAGCCCTCGTGGTCGGAGGATGTGGGCCGCGAGGGCTGTGAGTTCCGTGCCGGTTTATCCCACCCTTCTTGCAGCCCTCGTTGTGGTGGGGCCGCGAGGGATGCGGGATGGATAAGGTTCTGCCCTGTCCTCTCGCAGCTCTCGTGGTCGGGGCGTGGGAACACGACTTCGGGCGTGCGATCCTGCGCCCACACGCGTAATCCCGATGGCTCATCACCGCCCGGACCGCGGGCCCTTAGTCTTTTTCAAGACTGGGGTCACGAGGTGGGGACTCTATAAACCCTGGCGGCACCAGCGGGCGAGGCGGGGTCTCCGAGCCTGCATTGCACGGTGCCGTCTTCCGAGGAGCGCCTTAGGGTGCAGCGGTCAGTGGGGCGTCGCTGTGGCAAGCGAAAGCGATCCCGTAGCACCCCACACATTGACCAGGAGGGAACGAAGGGGCTTATTGAGCTATGCCCCCCACTATGGGGGGAGAGTCCCACATAACTCACGTGTCTGCCCCGAGTCATGGAGTATGCGTAACGCATTCCCCGGTCGGGTGGTCATGTGGGGTTGTCACTTTAGGTGCCCGAATTTCAAACAAACAAAAGAAAAGCTGTGCGGCAGCAAATTTTTTGCGTTAAAAAAGTTTTACATGTAGCAACAAATAATATTGCTTTAACATGTCGGTAATAAATTATTGTTAATATTTAGAAACATTTTAAAAGTAAACGTTTTACTCCATACATTACAACAATCGCCTATTTTTCTACAAACAACGTAAGAATTTATATCTGGCAACTCTAGGTCACTGTTAAAAAGGGACACAGTAGACACTTATAGCCTTCTCACTCAGGTTCAAATTTATTTTGCGTGTAACAACACTCTTGCAGTCTTAACATAAGGTTTTATTTTCTTAATTTTAACTGCAAGATGTACAGATAGATTTCGATCCTGTTGTACGTAGTACTTATTACTTCCATGACACAGCCAAATAATCCAAGTCCCGATAATTCGTGTACAGGGTTTTGTACACGGTTTTGTATCTTTTGTTTGTACACGGATTATTGGGTTGTGCATTATCATGGCATGGCCAATCATGGCTGAACATTATTGCCTTCCTTTCGTGTTCGTCGTTTTTTATTAATTTATATATGAAGTCCAAGGTAACAATTAAGCAAAGAATCGACTCCCCGTAAAAGGCCCAGGACGTACGAAGTGAACTAATTCTTCATGGAATTAAGTAAAAACTAAATCTCCAATATGGCGTCAACTAGGTGCAATGGCGGTATAGAATGAGTAGTGCGCAGCACGTACCGGCTAATCGATATTGTAAACTGTAACGCGTGTAAACCAGAGAAGCCAACAGTGAAAAGTAGTGGTCTACTGCTGCAGAAGCATGGTCAAAGGTTACAGGATTTTGAGCACTTCCTAGAACCACACATGGTAACTACCAGTGATGGTAAAGTGATAGATGCATTAGGAATGGGTTCAATTCTTAAGAAGACAAACAGAGAGACATTTGTACTAAATGATGTGTGCCTTGTTCCGAATATCACTAAGAATCTTTTTGGTGCTCTCAGCACATGATATTAACAAAGAAAGTTGAGTTGATTATTGGTAGTTGTATGAGTCACAAGGCACAACTTGCTTATTCAGTATCAAAGGGAAATTACGTGTAACTAGATACAGACAAACTCAAGGCAGTTTGTAACTAGCTGACTCAAGGAAGTCGCATCAATCACTGGTCACAGTTGATATGATTACCCTTTACCATGAACTCATGGGTCAAGATGATAGAGAAAACAAGTCATTGGGTGAGAACTTGATGTAAAGTCAAAGGTCAGCGGAAGCCTATTCGAAGGGTGCAATTCTGGAAAGACACAAAGAAGTTTGATGTTTAAGAAAAGACTCTCAGTCCAGGAGAATGTATTCACTCTGTCTGTGGTCCCTTTCCATAAAGTTGTTCGAGGTCTCAATATTTCGTTCTATTCAAAGAAGAATTCGGCAAATACCGTTGTGGGTACATCATAAAAAATATATCGCAAATACCTGAATTACTTGAGTCTGTTGTTGGCAGATGCAATGGCAAGTTTAAGAATTTCTGAGTGACAACGGAAGTGAATTCGATAATAACAAAGTATGCAAAGAATTAGAAAAGAATGGACAACCTCAACGACTTGTTATGCAGAGTTGGTCAATACTGCGTTTTTAGGACGAAGTTACAAATAAAACATTTAAGGATCGTCAGTTCTATGTTAAAGAATATTATGTTCTAGGTTGCTTTCTATTTTGGTGGATTCACGTGGCCGCTTGCTTGTTTGCCACCTCATTTTATAAAAACAGTGGTTGATTGAATTAATAATAGTTTGTAGGTTTTATGAACTATAATCTAAACTATAATCATCAACTTTCCTTTATCCCTATGGAGGGTTGGCACATTATGTGCTCCTTTTCCATACATTTCTATAGACCACCATATCTGAATACACTCCCATCACAACTTAACTATTTACTTAATTTTATAAACTCTTAATAATATTAACATGTTTACTTTAGGTGAAGAACTGGGTGAAGGAACTGAGGAGGATGCTAGGATCTGATATTGTTTTAGTAATAGCTGGGAATAAAATTGACCTGGAGCATGAGCAAGCTGTGCCTACAGAGAAACCTGAAAGGTACAGTTATAACTATTTTAACTTTCTTCATATATCTTATTTTATATATAATATATTTTACATGATTTGTATTCAAAAATAAAATATACATAAAAAATAGAACACCACCGTCTGCGGAATCCGATGACTCAAGCAACCAGTGGTCAGGGCAGACAGGAACTTTCTCACAATATGTGCGATTTCTAAAATAACCGCCTTTTGAATTGGGCCCTTAATCCTTAATCCTTATTTTAACATTTGATTTGGGTGGGTGTTATTATTTTGGATGACACACTAGCGGCTAGTTAGCTGATGAGTGTGTGTTGTATAGCTCTGAGATTTTAAATTTAACTTCACATTGTTGTGCCGCCTTACATCCTCCAATATCACAACTAAGCAGAAGTCGGGTGAAGAAGGTGAAGATGAGTGTGCATGCTGAAGTCCTAATTTCAGCCCTTTTCTCATTCCCTCGCTTTTTAAACAAGGGTGGTGAAAGAAAGTTTCTATGGCATGGGCTGGGACATATAAAAAGAGAAAATATCTTACTGTCCATATCCTCTGTTTTGCATCCACTATTTGGGCTGATTCCAGCTAATTGCTACACAATTTAATAGATATATCTAATTAGAATTAAGTTATAAAACTAATGATAAGCATTGTACTGATAATATTTCCTTTTCAGCTTTTCAAAATCAGTCGGCGCTCAACACTACTACACATCTGCAAAGGTTAACTTTGGAATAGAGGAATTATTCATTGTACTGGCGTTATAGAATGAGTAGTGCGCAGCACGTACCGACTAATCGATATTGTAAACTGTAATGCATGTAAACCAGAGAAGCCAACAGTGAAAAGTAGTGGTCTACTGCTGCAGAAGCAGTGATTAAATACAACAAGAATTTAAGACAGTAACTGAAACTAGAGAGTTTGGCTCTTTAATGATTACGAACAATATTACCGTTGAAGCATTAGATAAGGTGGTCAGGTTTTCAAGACCAAGGATGAACTGAACCGTCTATATGATGAGGTGATTGATGACCACCTGTATCATGCCTGTATGCCCCTGTTTCAATTGAAGATAGACATCTCAGATGACATTGCAACTCATATGCCTAAAGCAAAGAATTTAGATTTTTGATACATTGCTGGAGGAGTATCTTTGCCTTAGGTCAAGTTGTATAATGATGTCAAAGAAGGACAGAACATTTAACCATCTGGCCAGTCAGCTTTGAGACCATAAAGGGTCTTCGATGATAATTTCCAGGGAAGATACTGAATATGTGACAAGTTAGCCACTTCAAGAAGGACTGCCCAAAGAAGAAATAACTTGGAAAAGCTGGAATTGCCATGATAGCAATGCCAATAAATATCACCGATTGTAAGCGGGATTAGGATGAGTGGTATGTTGATAACAGGGTCACACATTGTTGCAACAAGAAGTGTCTGGTTACAGGATTTTGAGCACTTCCTAGAACCACACATGGTAACTACCAGTGATGGTAAAGTGATAGATGCAATAGGAATGGGTTCAATTCTTAAGAAGACAAACAGAGAGACATTTGTACTAAATGATGTGTGCCTTGTTCCGAATATCACTAAAAATCTTTTTGGTACTCTCAGCACATGATATTAACAAAGAAAGTTCAGTTGATTATTGGTAGTTCTATGAGTCACAAGGCACAACTTGCATATTCAGTATCAAAGGGAAATTACGTGTAACTAGATACAGACAAACTCAAGGCGGTTTGTAACTAGCTGACTCAAGGAAGTCGCATCGATCACTGGTCACAGTTGATATGATTACCCTTTACCATGAATTCATGGGTCAAGATGATAGATAAAGCAAGTGATTGAGTGAGAACTTGATGTAAAGTCAAAGGTCAGCGGAAGCCTACTCGAAGGATGCAATTCTGGAAAGACACAAAGAAGTTTGATGTTTAAGAATAGACTCTCAGTCCAGGAGAATGAATTCACTCTGTATGTGGTCTCTTTCCATCAAGTTGTTCGAAGTCTCTATATTTCGTGCTATTCATAGAAGAATTCGGCAAATACTGTTATGTGTACATCATAAAAATAAATCTCAAATACCTGAATTACTTGTGTCTGTTGTTGGCAGGTGCAATGGCAGCAGGCAAATTTAGGAATTTCTGAGCAACAACAGAAGTGAATTCGATAATAACAAAGTACGCAAAGAATTAGAAAAGAATGGACAACATCAGCGACTTGTTATGCAAAGTTGGTCAATACTGCATTTTTGGAACGAAGTTGCAAATAAAACATTTGAAGATTGTTAGTTCTATGTTTATATACTGTACTTTGTAAGCATAAAATAAAAGATAAATAAAAATATAAGACCTCTTTTTATTGTTCTCCAAAAAAATACTCAGCTTAACTAATAATGGTTGAGATCCAGTATCAAGCTGGTTTTCAGCCACCTCCCCCCCTTCCCAAGATGAATAGGTGACTGTAGAGTGACAATCTCATTTTACGGGTTAGGAGTTTAGATTAAAGATCATCATCTCAATAGGCCATAGTAGTAACGTTCGTCTCCTGATCTCTGTGGATATTTCGTTCTCCCTCGTCACCATTGAGCCCAGATAAACGAAAATGTTTACTATTACAAAGTTGTTACATCCTATAGTTACTACCTTTCGTTGTTATCCGATGTTGATTGTAAAGTATGTATGTGTGTCGTTTTTTCTGCATTTATTAAAAAACCTGCTTCGTTTGATTCTTTTTCGAAAGTAAGATACGCACTTTCCACCTCGTTGCCTTATCATTGCGACCTCAACCCGATTGAGAAAATCTAGAGCCTTCTAAATAGAAAGGTCCAAAAGAAATTGTATTATTAACTGAAGAGGCCTTTGCCTTTTAAAGCGAGTGATGACTGAGAAAAAGGAAGTGATGACTGAGATGACGTATGATAAAGTTATGTGGAGGACGAGGACAAAAACCTGTTGCGCCGACCCTACGGGAGTAGGATAAGGAGAAAGATGATGATGGACTGGAGAGGCCTTTGAGTCTATATGGCGAAAGATTGGACAACACAGTGCATGGGTGTGGAACATTAAGAGGAGGTATATTAAAAAAATGACGGTCATATGGAAGAAGGGATGGACCGAATAATTGTGTCTACAGCTAATGATACTGAAACAGAATCTGATTCTGTTTCAGTATCATCAAGCCCTCAAGCAGTAATGTTCCTTATTTGTGATCAGCAGTCATTGGAACATACTTTTCTTTACCCTACTATCTCATGTTTTCCCTGTTAATAAGGAAACATCGCTTATTTATATAAGCGGTATTTACTTATGTAAAAAAATAATTATATGAGCTTGAGTAATGAAATTACAGTGTATCTGAAATCTATTTATTTTCTAATACAATGTAAGAGCTTATATTGTTTCATCGAAGTATACAGGAAATAGTTTTATTTGATAAATTTGAAGAAAAGGGAAATGATGACATTTTTACGTATGTTTTTTTATTTAATTTAAAAAATGTTATACAAAATAGATTTATATTTAATCTATACGACTTTTTGATGTGTTCTATACTTTATGTTCAGTTTCTACTCTGTGGTAAACTCTATACATTATTTATCTATGGCACCGACCTTCTTTTCATCTCTTCATCGATTGTCAACATCATTTTGCCTATTGGATTTATCTGGATTGGATTTTAAATAAATGTGAGAGCTTAGGTTTCCGCAAATAAAAGAAATTAATTTTCAACTGTAGTAGTTCATTAAATCAAGACACGGATAGGATCATTTGCAACAATGTCTACCGCCCGTAATGGAACTCATAATTTTAAAGTGGTGTTGCTGGGAGAAGGAAGTGTGGGAAAGACTTCGCTGTTGTTGCGATACGTCGAAGACAAATTTAATGAAAGGCATACTAGTACGCTACAGGTATTGTGAAATGTTCTTAATAATCTTCATAAAATGCAATAACATCATAAAATTGTTGGGTACTTAGAAACAAATTAACGTCTTATTTGATAGACATCATATATTTAACACAATCCTTATAACAATTCTTTGCATTATAGGCAACATTTCTTAACAAGAAAATAAACTTGAATGACAAGAGAATCAATCTAGCAATTTGGGATACCGCAGGCCAAGAGAAGTTCCATGCTCTGGGTCCAATCTACTATAGGAATTCCAACGGAGCCATATTGGTGTATGACATCACTGAGGCAGATTCTTTTGTGAAGGTAAGTGGAACAATTACCAACTCTTTGAATCTCGCTTGTCCACTTTGTGTTCGATCAGTAAAATTGCATATTGTTGCATTGTTGTGTTGTTGATCACAGGTGGCAAAGTTCATTACTTGACTTGTCACCTACAGATGCTTTTATTGATCCCAGATAACAACTATTTTTAATATTTTTATTATTTAATATGTATACACTTGTCCGATACACTTATGGTAAAGAAAAAAATGATGATGCATCTTGCACATATCGGGGATAAGACTAGAAGCACTTGACAAAGAGTAGAATTGTGATATAAAACAAAGTCACTTAAAATAAAATCTTCATTAAGCAAATTTATAACTTTGCGGGTTGAAAATAAAATAAGTGCCGAATGTAAAATATAGTTGTTATAATAATACTTATTTCAAATATTCTTATTCCAATAATTAATTATGCACTAATGTTATTCAGGCAATAAATTTTATTCTAAAATATAAGCAATTATGATGAACATTATAAATGAATAAATGTTAATGTTCACCAATTAACATGAGTAACAAACCTTGATTATAACAACCTAAAGTATATTTTGAATGACATTTAGATATGATATTTATAGAATAAGTTTATGAAAATAAAAATACTTTGAACATTATCAACAGGTGATAGTGCTTCCACGGCTAATCTGTGTTGTAAATGGCTTCTATTGTGTAACAAACACAACATCCCGGAGAAGCTTTCTTCATTAATTGTTTAAAATAAAAGAATATTTTGTTCCTTTACTATCAAAAAGAATTGTCTATAACTTTTTTTTTAACTCTATAGAAATATTGGCTATGTTTGCAAGACAATGTCCTCTTTATGTGCATCTCCTCCTCTGTCAATTAAGGGTAGGCAACGCATCCGCAATTATGGATGTTTATGGGTAGCGGTAGCTTTCCATTTTGGTGGATTCAGGTGGCCGCTTGCTCGTTTGCCACCTTATATTATAAAAAAAGTGGTTCATTGAATTAATAATAGTTTGTAGGTTTTATGAACTCTCAATTATCAATTTGCCTGTATCCCTATGGAGGGTTGGCACATTATGTGCTCCTCTTCCATATATTTCTATCAACCATCATATCTGAATACACTCCCATCACAACTTGTCTATTTACTTAGTTTTATTAACTCTTAATAATATTGACATGTTTATTTTAGGTGAAGAACTGGGTGAAGGAACTGAGGAGGATGCTAGGATCTGATATTGTTTTAGTAATAGCTGGGAATAAAATTGACCTGGAGCATGAGCAAGCAGTGCCTACAGAGGAAGCTGAAAGGTACAGTTATTATTATTTTAACTTTCTTCATATATCTTATTTTATATATAATACATTTTACAAGATTTGTATTAAAAAATATATAATACATAAAAAAATAGAACAACACCGGCTGCGGAATCCGATGATTCAAGCAACCAGTGGTCAGGGCTGCAGAGACAGGACCCTCCTCACAATATGTGCGGTTTCTAAAATAACCACCTTTTAAATCAGGCCCTCAATCCTTATTTTTACATTTATTTTTATTATTTTGGGTTTTTTGACACACTAGCAGCTAGTTAGCTGATGCGTGTGTCTTGTATAGCTCTGAGATTTTAAATTTAACTTCACACTGTTGTGCCAGCTTACATCCTCCAATATTATAACAAAGCAGAATTCAGGTGAAGATGAGTGTGCATGCACAAGTCTTAATTTCAGCCCTCTTCCCATTCCCTCGCTTTTTATACAAGGGTGGTGAAAGAAAGTTTCTATGGCATGGGCTGGGACATATAAAAAGGGGAAATATCTTACTGTGCATATCCTCTGTTTTGCATCCACTATTTGGGCTAATTCCGACTAATTGCTTCACATATTAAATGATATATCTTAATAGAATTAAGTTATAAAACTAATGATAAGCATTGTACTGATAAAATTTTCTTTTCAGCTTTTCAAAATCAGTCGGCGCTCAACACTACTACACATCTGCAAAGGTTAACTTTGGAATAGAGGAATTATTCATTGTGCTGGCGCAACTAATGATCCAGAAGTTTGAGCAAGACTCTCAAAATAACCAGGAGGCATCTCGGGCATCCCAAGTCCTGATTGTGGATGATGAGGAACCAGTTCACAGGTCATGCTGCTTCAACTCAAGCCGCATCTAAACTTATAGAAACGCAAATATATTTAGATTATTGTAAAATATGTCAAAGTTGTATTACACTTTTGAAAGTCATTTTTAGCATATTAATAGTTATTTTATATGTATATTGTTATTTTTAAGATTTATTGTTAGAAAAGTAATATCCCTGCTTTTCAATATTTTAATGAGATTATAATTAATGTTTTCTGCAATTTCACTTTTATCTCAATAGGGAAATAAAATTGTTAATCAATGTGAAGCAGAGGTTATAATTTTTATGGTTTTGAAATCTATGATCTAAACAAATTAATGTTTAATCATCTTCATAAGTCTATGTCACATACATATGTCTATGGGCATCTATTTAGTATGCTTATTGAATTAAACATAATTATGTAATGTGCTTATTATAATACCATTGTCATGGTCAAATGCTAAATTTAGAATGATCAATGTCTATAAGATATTGTTCATGTTAGTATCGTGTATTTTCATTCCATTCATATTTTATTGTTTTTGTAATTTCTCTAACTATATTCGTATGTTACCCATCTGACAATGAGGCAAACCCCTCACTAAGTTATTTAGAACAAGAGCAAGTTTCTTGCATGTTGTATATTGCTTTGTAAAAATATTTTATTAATTTTCTTTGAACAAAATATAATAATTTAGATTTATTATATAGTCTCTGATGTTTGAGATGTTCCATCTTAAAATTGACAAATATCTGAAAGTCTTGTACACCTTGAAATGATAAAGGTCGGTAAATATGATAAGAAAGCATTTACACTATACGCTATTTTAATAAAACATCAATACCGCTTTTATTATTTTCAAAAATGCATAAAGTTACAAGTTTCAAGACAATTTTTCTGTAAATGAAACACTGCAAAGATGATTGTACATTTTCAATAAGTATATTCATGTTTTTCGATTACTTTTAAACAGTTCTATATATTCATTATTAATAAATAAAATGTATAAATAAATTTGTTGTCATGATGTTATATATTTTTTTGCTTCCTAAATCCAAATCTCATATAGGAACAAATGTTCACTACATATCCTCCAGTTCAAGGGCAAGTTTGCAGGCACCAGTTTGTGTTTGCATCATGCCAGTTGTATGCCATACATGTATGGCATACTGGCCAAATGCAAACCAAGCATTAATAGGTATTTGCTGCCCCAGCGTTTCAACATCTTTCGACCACATCACCCAACAAAAGGTGGGATTATGGTTTTGAGTATTAAAAATATATTACACACAAGGATGTAGTGCATTATATGACAATCCATATTATTATAGTCCATTCACAATAAGAATTGAAATAAAATCGATATCGCTATGTTCATTAAATCTTAAAAATAAATTGCAATGTACAAAGGTAATTATGCAGTCTATGGTTATAAGCAGTTACATATTACATACTCTTTGATAAACTCTATGATTTTAGTATGACATTTGTGGCGGCAGCGGATAGTAGTGCTTGAATTCTCCCTTATTTTACTATTCCGTGTTTCCTTATTTATTCCATTGTATCGTAGCGTTTCAAATAAAATCACCATGTCGTGGCTATTCGGGTATAGCCGGCCACAGGTACCACCTTCAGAAGATCCACCGTCAAATGATGGTGACTCCGGTGCCGCACCACCTGCTAGTGCTAATCTTACCAAAGCTGAGAAAAGAGCCATGGAAGCATACAGATTCGACTCCAGCGCTCTTGAACGCGCCGCTCAAGCTGCGAAGGAACTTGAACGATCAAGTAAGTTAACACACATTTAGTACTATTGCATAATGTAACCTCGCGCACATGACTTCAACTAGCAATTTAGGTTATACATATAAAATATGCATTACATTAACAAAATATATAGCGGGACATAAAATATATAGATAGTTAACACCTTAAATGCATAGTTTATTTTAGATTAATATTGTTAAAGTTTCTGTTATAAAAGTAAGTTACATTTAAAATAATCTTGAACAGGAATCCATAATTGTACCCCTTTTTTACAAAACTAGATAAATTGTATATTTCCGAAAAATCGACGCCATTTCTATAACAAAATCTTTGTTGTAATCTTGCTCATTAGAAGTTATTGAAAAAAACTTAAACAGTATTTGGGTGATTAGGCATCATCTTCAGTAATAATTGTTTGAATAAACAAACAATTACACACTTGAGACATGCATTAAATTATTAAATACATATGATTGTGCTTCTCTTTAGTGTGCTTTTTATTTCAAAAAGGCTCAAGTGTCTAATAAGTCCTTTTTGTTGTTCCCTCTTGTCTATTACAAAGACAGGATAACTAAAATTAAATTTCTTTGTCAGTTAATTTTTTGTAATTAGAAGTCTTATTAATAATTTTAAATTGAGGGTACTAGAGGAATAAAATGAAAACAATATTTAATATTATTTAACAGAACATGCCAAAGAGGCCTTGGAAATCAGCAAGATGCAGGAGGTTACACGCCAGCATGAGCAGATGGCTAAAATCAAGGAGTACGAAGTATCTATTGAACAGTCTAAAGTGCAGCAGAAGAAAATTGATCATGAGGAAAGGCGGAAAACACTCCAGGTATACTAACTTTTATGTAAAACTAATTATTCTTTGTGTTACATAGAAAAAAAACATTTTAACATAAACTTCCTTTCGATACATCAACTATTAAGTGTACAATGGGACACCAATTTCCATACATATTGGATGTTGCAGTATTTCATATTTTTAGATGTTTTTGTAAATGTATACCTTTAAATTAAAAATATCTTCATGAAATTCCTATAGTTTTAAAGACTTGATTTCAACAACTCCATGGCTAGGGAACATTTAACATGAGGAGGACACAAATTGCCCCAGCCGGACTATCTCAAAGAATCTTAACCCTTTAATGGTCAATACATGTACTAATGTTTATAACCTATTAAGATGACATCAAAAACCACTAAAATATTTCCTTGTTGTCATCCTCCAGGTTAATCTATCTTCCAACTTCTCAGTTATCACCTTTCAATACATACTTCTAGACCTACCTCTGGTGTACACTTCCACACATAAACCATTAAAATAACTTAATTGAATGTGAACTTTGTAAAATGTATACAAAACTCAAGGAGATATTACATTGTTTGAACTGTAAAGAATTACTTTATCAATGTCATTTCCATTAACAGAAAATAAGATAAGCAGAGTTTTACTTTGAATTTTAATAAATGCATCTCTCACCTTGACATCTATATTCTAATTCATCTTTACAATGAAACAGTTGAAAAAGAGTACAGAACAAACATTTAAAAAAAAATGGATGGAGAGGATGCCATTATACTATCATACTATTAAAAAAAGAAAGTTTTTTCTGAACAATAGAAGAGTAATGCCGTTTCCCTGTGTACATACAAATGAATGTTCATTGTAACTTCTGTAAGTTGACTTGCATTATAGAGTGTGGCACATTTGATTTGTAGAAGGTATCCAGCCATTGAGTATTAATTTCATTGCTGTGACACACATTGTTGTCCTTGTTTTTTCAAAACAAATGAGAGGGATGATAAAATGAGTTGATAAATGCACTTCAACAGTAAAAGTCCACAATAATCCTTCAAGCCTCGGAAAAAAGCCATTAATGTCTGCCCAGACATTAAAATACTTCAAAGGTTAAAACTATTCAGCTAGACAATTATTATATGAATAGGTTATAGAGTATCTATAATCATTAGTACTCAATTTTAAGATGATTTCTAATTTTATTATAATACCAAAGCCTTTTTTTGGGGTTAGGATTATCCTGACATTTTTAATTACAACTCCATATATCAGCTTTCTGAATTCATCTTGCACACTATCTATCCATAGTTTCTTTCGTCTCCACACAATCTAATTACTTTTTAGTTGTTAACCCGAAATACATAGTATGAATGGTTTGTTGTCTAATTATTGTCTATTTTCTTGTTTTATTGATCAGGAAGAGACAAAACAGCACCAGATGAGGGCCCAGTACCAAGATCAACTGGCGAAGAAGAGATACGAAGAACAATTGGTGCAGCAGCAGAAATCACAGGAAGAAATATTAAAAAAGTTAGTGCTTTACATCTGGTTTTACTAAGTATAGAAAGAAACAACTCAACTGAAATCTTAAGTAGGCCGGAATGACCAATTTCCAGTTCTGGGTGTTCTTTATATCTAAAGTAACAAATACTTTGATTCCATAAATTAGTAATATTTGATTAAATTAATTATGACATATACCATTTTGTTTAGTAAACGCCTTTTGAAAACTTGTAGTGGAATGCAGACACTTTTGCAATGTCTACTTATTTATTCACTAATAATAAAATTATAGATGATTGGAAACTATCAAATATATTGATAATTTAAAATTATCAGGTAAATTATTACAAATTGTATTTTTCAGACAAGAAGAGAGTGTAGCGAAACAGGAGGCGCTACGTCGTGCCACCATCGAGCATGAGATGGAGCTTCGGGAGAAGAACAAACTGAAGGCGATCGAGGCGGAGGCCCGCGCAAAGGCGAAGGCCGACCGCGAGAATAGGGACATCACTCTCGAACAAATACGTCTGAAGGCTGCGGAGAATAGGGCAACCATTTTGGAGAGTATCAAGTAAGTGAGGATTGCCTATGGATTGTCTATTTTTATATGAACTTTAATGTTGGTAGCTCAGGGGTTTGAGCACTTGTAACCCACAGGTTCTATATTCTAGCTATGAACCAATATTATTTTATATTATTCTAATTTCATACGTACAAAATTTACCCGACGTTATGTGCATTATTTTCTTACGGTGAAAGAAAACATTGTGATGCCTGCACATATCAGTGTGGGGATTCAAAGACATGTGTAAGTCAATCCACAGTTGGCCAGCGTGGTTGATTAAGGCCTGGTCACCCTAACTTAGGGTAATCTCTGAGCGACTTGTTAAGATAATTGAATTTGTTTTTACACAGGACTGCGGGTTCTGTGATTGGCACAGGTCTGAATGCTCTGGTGACGGATTGGGATAAAACTTTAGCAGCGGCTGGTGGATTATCACTGCTTGCACTTGGAGTATATACAGCGAAAGGCGCGACCTCTGTCACCGCTAGGTTCATTGAAGCAAGGATAGGTGAGACATTTTATAATATTAACAATATGATATCAATATCAAAGTTGCGGATGAAAAGAGATTGCATGTGGCTGAGATGCGTATGTTAAGATGGATGTGTGGTGTGACAAGAATGGATAAAGTTAAGAATGTGTACATTAGAGGAAGTTTGAAAGTAGCGTCACTGGTGGAGAAATTGAGAAGCAAAAGGTTAGCGTGGTATGGACATGTTATGCGACGAAATGATGGGGACATAAACCAGAAAGTGTTAAGATTGAATGTGGATGGCAACAATGGAAGAGGAAGACCGAAGAAAATATGGATGGATTGTGTGAAAGAGGATATGCTTAAGAAAGGAGTGGATTCAGATATGACGGCTGATAGAGATGTATGGAAGAGCAGCACATACTGTGCCGACCCTCCATAAGGGATAAGGGCAAGTGGATGATGAACAATATGATATCAATATAATCTATTCTTTTTTTTTAATCTTAGGTAAAGGGGGATTTTTGTCTTAGGAAAGACATGCCAATAATCTATTCTAACTATAGCTCCGATACTTGACTCGGACAGCATAGGTTTTCAATTATGTGATTTTTTTTAATTCCCCTTCAGGTAAACCGTCGTTGATTAACGAAACATCTAGATTTTCACTGCTCGAAGCTATAAAGCATCCAATACTGACGATGTCTAAAGCTGTGAACAGATTTAGAAAACCAACGGATGCTTTAGCTGGAGTTGTGTTAGAACCTAGCTTGGAACGCAGACTGAGAGATATAGCGATTGCAACCAAAAATACCCGATTAAACAAAGGATATTATAGAAATCTACTCATGTATGGGCCACCAGGAACGGGGAAAACATTATTCTCAAAGGTAAAGATTTTGATTGGTTTTTTTGCACAACTGACAGAGTATTTCCAAAGTATGTTTTTATTAATATAAATCTACTTGAGACACATAGACTGCGTGCTTAAATTTAAATGTCTACTGAGGGGTAATTTAGTTTGTCTTCTATCCTGGAGTGCCACAAAATAAATAACAAAAATAGTTGTAAAAACTGACTTTGAATCTCACTTCCTTTAATAACCTTTTTTAATAACTTTTTTCGTTCATTTTTAATATATTTATCTATTAGAGTTAATCAATCGGGTACTTTTTTTAATTAAATAAGAATGAACACTTGTTTTTTTTTTTTTAGAAATTAGCGAAACATTCAGAAATGGACTATGCTATTCTAACGGGCGGTGACGTTGCACCAATGGGCAAGGGCGCAGTCGCCGCTATACATAAAGTATTCGACTGGGCTAATACTAGTAGAAAAGGTAAGATTTTTACCACTTTAGAAAAACTTTGCTATCTTAAAAATGCGAAAGTTTAGATAGATAGATGTTTTTTTAGAGTTTGTAGCCTAAACTGCTGAATGGGTTTTGATACAATTTGGATTCGGTCTGGAAGAACACATAAGCTACTCACTTTTTTTTAATTCCACGCAGACGGAGTCGCGGGCGAAAACATTTATTAAATAATAACAATATTTTTAGGTGTCCTACTGTTTATTGATGAGGCGGACGCGTTTCTTCGTAAGCGTTCATCGGAACGGATCAGTGAGGACCTAAGGGCAGCTTTAAATGCCTTCCTTTACCGTACATCAGATCAGAGCAGTAGAATTATGCTTGTACTGGCTTCCAATACTCCGCAGCAATTTGACTCTGCTATAAATGACCGATTGGACAAAATGATTGAATTCGGTCTGCCAGGGTATGAGGAAAGGGAGAGACTGATCCGTCTCTACTTTGACAAGTTTGTGCTGCAACCAGCTTCGGAAGGGAAAAGGTTAGTGTTTTTTTTTAGTTAGTGGTGTAACTGCATATGTATGGTTATTGTGATTGCTGGGAAATATTTGCAACAAGCAAATGCTTGACTTTACATAAAGAACAAAAAAGTTTAAGCTTCAAAATGTTACATGTGAAGTGTCAACTATCCTCTATATAAAAACGAAAGATTTGTATTTTTGTATATATTGAGATAACTCAAACTCTTTTAGCTGTATTTTAAAATTTCTTGCACTATTAAGCGAGTAACATAGGCTATATTATCTCATATAGACAACGAACAAGAGTTAGTAAATGATGTATGTGAAATATATCAGCAAAATTTTAATTTACAATAATAGCCAATGCTTTTCTTTTCGGGAAGATGTATTTGCATTGCTGATAATAAAAATCCCGTTTAGAATTTCTTGTCTGTCTGTCCGCAAGCCGCGTTTGTTCCCGATAATCT